CTCGACTAATGGCCTTGTTTCCTACCAAATATAAATACAATTATACGCCTAGAAAATGAAGTTGTTGGAAAGAAATATTCACCGAATAAATTTTTGTTCTCATCATTATTTTCTGTTAGTCAAACATACACCGAAATGTTGATTATGATACCGCATCATTATTTAAGAAAGAAGGAAAAAAATTCATTTTCCGCTACTGAATTAAATTCCTCTGATAAGAAAGTGTAATTCCGCGATGCCGACAGACAATCAGGTGTGCGTAGATTCGTGTTTCTACTGATTTTCTTATTAATTAATTCGCACTGACCATAATCTGGTATATATATCCAGCATTGTTGAAAGATGAATAAATTGTGGTGGAAAAACATGTGTTGTGTTCATTTTTGCTTTTCTTAGAAAAAAAGGTATTTTTCTTTTGTTTGTGCAGTTATCAGCACTGGGAAAATTTCCATTTGATAAAACAGATCAAGGCATACAATTGAAATCAAATATTTACTGAAAAAAATATCATGTAGACATTTAGGCGGTAGGTTTTTATCAATTATAATATAGTATATATATATACCTTGTATTTAAATGTCAAACGGATCATCAGTTTACTTTGAACAAACTCCATCAACGTAGTAGTTCTCATGGAGCAGCAACTATGCTAGTTTTAGACTAATTGCAGGAAATTCTGATTAATACTATTTTTGTGGTACTTTCAACTGTCACTATTTTCTCCCTTTTCAAGTTTAAGCATAAACTGATTTCAGTTAGAGAACTATTGAAAACCAGAGAGAGTGCCTTAGAGTTATTTCGTCCTTGTTTTGGCACGCTTCGACAGACTACCCCACTGGGTTTCTACGGTTCTCTAACTGAAGTTAACTTTGTGATCAAATGTGAAATCAATCAAATCCCTACAAACCAACACTTGACAATCCTCTCTTTCTTCCATCTCGTGAATTAAATGACAATGAGTTAATCAAAAACTTTATATTGGATTTCATGTCTGTCAAATAATTTAGCGATTTTATCATTTTATTTTAGAGTAAAAGGGAAAAATAATTTTTGTCTATTCAGTTTATAGATTGATTTATGTTGTTTACTTTTAAAAGAAAAATTAATTACCTAGTTTTAAAAATTTTATTCATTTGAAATGTTTTAGAGAAGTAGTGTGTCAAAACAATTAAATGAAGTTTTTATTTCTCCTTTTCCTAATATATTATTCATAGGATAACGTTTAAAATTGAAACGATATTGGTTTATTTTGTTTTCGGTATTCTCTTTTAACTATTTTTTGAATACCTGAGTTCTAGTGAGAACTCGTGACCAGTGGAGCACAGCAGGTTGGGTGTGATGACAAATACTCGCCAGCGATGACATTGGCTAGTGGTCGCGCCATATCGTGAGTTGGCAGAAGTTAGAATTCATGGGCTGGCCGTTGGGTTGGGTCCCAGTGGGGCTCAATGGTCTATAAGCTTGCTCTGTAACTGGGAGACCCTGGATTTGAACCCTGGCGGTGGTTGCGTACTGACGAAGAGTTCCAAACTAGGCTGACGAAACAGCTGTCCAGTACTCCTCGCTGGTTTTCCAATGGTTCTCTAACCGATGTCAGCTCATGAATAAATCCTGCAACTAACACATTGGTTGTTTGGTTATTACCATAAGTGGTATGATTACATTGATACATTGAGTGGTTGTTTGTCTGCCTGTTCAAAATTAAGATTATCGTGGTAGTCATAATGTTAATCCCTGATTTATTTATTTATTCGTAATCATAATAAGTCTCTTTATCATTTTTGATGAATGTCGTTTCATTTTATTTTGGTATTGTTTAAAACCATTCTTTAAATCATGTTTATATTACAAAAAGTAATCTAGTGTATGTCTTTAACGCTTGAATAACCTCAAAAGACTTGATTTAAAATATTTTAATGTTTCTACTTCAAAGGTAGGTAGGTTTTTCCGAATTAGAAAAAGATAAGGAGATCAACGTTGATATTATCATAAGGTGCATGTCTATTCAGATTCGCACACTCTCTAACACTTCACAAGCAAACCTAAAAGGATTTAAAATTGAGTGTAATAAGCTACAGTGAATATTGGTGAAAATAAGTAGGATGTGTAAAATTTCGGGAATCAGTGGATGTATATGAATGTAGCCTTCTTACTAATTTTGAGTTGTCACCTAAGTGTCTCCATGGTTGATTTCTAGCCCCAAATAAGTTGGTTACATCTGTTTACATGGAATGAAGCAACAGTGATTAACTTTTCAGCTTAGTTTCATGCTTTGCTTTCCTTAGATTTATTCTCACACTGAATGGAATACGAAGTAGTTGTACTTGGTTATAATTTTTGACTGATTATCTTATCAACCTTAAAATTTTTCACAAAAGTACACCAGTTCAAGTTACCACATTTAGGAAAAGTTGGCAAAATAAGTATAATGAAACTAAAATGGATGAAGATGTAAAGGGAGTAAAGAGTTACTCCACGAGAGTTAGCGAGGAGTTTCATGATGGGAATGATGACAAGCATCAAATGCATCTTCGTCATTACTAACAATTTTGAATCATGGTACCATTGGTCTCCAACTATTGATTCCTAGAGTAGTACTGACGATCCAGGTTGGGGAGTCTACAACATCCTATATGGCTCAAACCAACAGTTAAAGACTCCATGAATTGGTTTCATGTTTTGATCTCACTACCTAAATCTTTAACAGTCTAGTCATACTTCAGCTAACATGGTTTGAAATACTCAGCACGTGTTCTAGTCACTGTGGTTTAGGGCTTTACTACTTCATTATTAATTGACTTTTCCTTCTTACCTAACACTCCACGTCTAACCTCCTTATTACTGACTATATTTCTCTAGATGATACAAAATCAACGAAGGCACCTAAGAGCAGAAACCAGTAATCTTTGCACATCTTCCACTCTCAGCGACTATGTCCCACAGCTGTAAAGTAGGAGGGGGGTGAAGTACTACACTGTACACATGTCATCTAGTGGATAACCGGCCATTACGCCCGCGCTAGTTTACTCAAGTTGGCAGATTCCAAACACTAACCTGTCTTCGCTACTATCATAATAGATTTAGAATAGTAACAATACTGAACACTCATTAAACTAAAACATAGTATAGTCGTGTTGTAATACTACTCTCAAGTACAACAACATTTACCTACTGTACATTATAGTGATACAATGTCCCATGTACTTAAAGCAGTACTGTTAACTAGACATGTGACTGTTAAATTATATTCTTTGCCAAATTATAACAAGTTTATGCGAAACTTATGAAAAAAGTACTCATGATTACTATTCACTTCATTTATCAGCAATTCTAAGGTAAGAGGTACTTTAAGCCTCTGTCCTGTCTATAAATTTAAAGCCTGCATAGCAAACATTTAAGCAAGTTTAGGATAAAAGTGTATAAGTGTAGCTGAATACTCAAGTGTAAGTTGATTGTGTTCTAATATTTGTGTAATAATTGTCTTAATCATGCAATTTGAAGGAGACTGCAGTATATGAACTCATAGGCCAGTCTTTTATCCTAATAATTTGTGTATAACAGGCATCTATATTGAATAATTGTAGTTATGTTAAGACCTTGACACAATGAGCCATCAGAACAAACTGCTACCTGCCCTAGCAGCATACCAGAAAAGCATCAGAAGAAGAAAGACCCGTTATTTTATGCCATTCACGACATCCTACTCAAACTCATTTTGCCCTACAGAAAGTTGCGACCAGTGATTTTCACCAAGAATGCTAAGTGTCACCAATTGTATTTAGATTTACTACATACTTACCAGTGGTTGTTACTGTGGAGGAATTTGACGTCCCATGAATTGATTTGGTACGAAAGATTTCTCACATCTAGCATAGTCAGACAATCTTGTCCTATTGAGTGAAGACGCTGCTTAAATGCAAAGTTTCTGAACACTCTGACATTCAATTTATCCCTATTAAATTAGGCCAACACTACATGACCATTCCACAACAACTCCTGTTTAAAGGATAGGAAGTGATGTGGCTGGATATGTTTTCCATCCCATTTATTTAGAAAGTGATGCATTGTCGTTCCGTAAAGAAACTAAGTCAATGCATGGGATTGTCAACTTTCATGGATTGCGTTGTTCTGTTCTATGCGTTACTCATGCCAAGTCACTGCCTTCTGGGATAAGCAATGTTAGCTGAAGGAAGATTAAGTTGGAAAACGAGTTAGAAGTCTTCATATCAGAAAGTATCACCAGTTCATTAGTTCTATGAATACTGCTGTTAAATCATTTAACATCATTTAGTAAGAAATTCCTATTGCAGAATATTTCACCAATTAGCGACTCAATCAGTTATTATTTTTAACATACTCCTCCTGTATTTCTAGTCACTCACAACTGTTTCTTGCCAATACATCTCAGTGACCACATGAAATTTCATGCATTAGCTTATGACAGCCTATTATATGTGTGCTTGTGGTAATACTTTGTCGTGGAAACAATGTTCAGGGCAGTGACCCAGAAGGGCCTAAGTTATATGAACGATAGCTGTTTTGTCTATTTACTAACAGTAAATAAAAGTGAAGAAGATTCTGAGTTTCTATTAGCATCTAATTTACTTACTTGATTTTTTATCAGGTGACTGTAAAAATCGTATATACTACTATCTATAATGAGTGAAACTTATACTCACTTAACTTTCAATTTTCTGGCTCATCCATTAGAAAATTCAGTTCACTTTTGGCTGAGACTTGAATTTTGTATTTATTTTTACAAGCGTCATAATGAAGTTTGCATTATTATAATTATTTTGTAAATTCCATTAGTTTTTATTTCTCTACGCAGAAAGGAAGGAATGTTTTCATTGATCGGTATTCATGAAAATTGCAGTTATAAATTTGAGAAATTTTAAAATTTCAGTTAATTGAGATATGACTTTTTGACGAAAGAGAAAAAATTTAGTATTTATTCACATCTTTACCCGTCTTGTTCTGTATCTGAATAACTTTTTTAGAACTCTGGTGGTAGTAGTGATTTGTCAATACCAAATAGTCCACATCGTAGCCCTCGCAATATCAATACTCAAAATCCAGTAGGACAAAATACTACTGAACAACCTGTCTTTCATGCTGCTGTGTGTGCTACACCAACTGGTGCGGGGTTACAAGCTTCTGTATCCGTCCATTGTTCTTCAAATCTTCTGTTGAAATCATCGTCAACTTCTGTGCCGTCTACTACGACTACAACAACTATTTATTCAGGAAATGCGGATCCAACACTTTTAAACAAAATGCCTTTAACTTCTTCACGAATTGTTAATAATCCATGTGCTGCACCACCAGGGAATCAAAAGTATTCGAATCTATCTTCTCATCCGCCACCTCCTCCTCTTCCACAACATCATCTTCAAAACCAGCAACAACAACAACAACAAGAGAAGACAGTTGAAGTAATGATTGATGATCCAGCAAATGAGATGACAATCAGTGAACTACGTTCAATAGCTGAACGTCAACGTCAACAGCTAGCTAGACAAGCTCAACAATTACAAGCTAGAGAAGAACGTCGTGCATGGTTACGTTCATTGAATTCACAACGTACAGCACTCAATAAATGTGCTGAAAATGAAAAGGTAAGCAATACATATAAATGCTGGTTAACCTGAGTAGTAAAAGTAAATCACTAGAAAGCTGTTTGAATTTAGTTTTATACTTGCCTATAAGTTAGCTTTACATTATATAGAAATTTCTCTTGTTACATTTAGTTATTGTGAAAGGTGATAGGTGCTGAAGACAATAATTATATTGTATTTGGTTATATTTCCTTCATGTTACTTCACTTGTGCTTTCTTGAAAAGAATGCTTCCCAACAATCACTTGCATTTACATGTTCTTGACAATTAGTTGTACTTATTGTTTAACAAGACCGTTGAGCGACATCACGTGTCAGGCCCTTGAGTAGAAGCCGAATGGGAAACGACGAGTGCACGGTGTCCCCGAGGGTTACATGGAGGAGATGAGAGCTGGTGTGCAGTTGTGAAGCCAGTTAAAGAGGATGGTAGGCAACAGGAAGAAATGGAGATGTAGTGTTGAAGTCTTATGTCCCACTTGGAACCCAAGGGAATAATAATAAACTGTTTGAGGACTGATGATATTACCATATTGCCTAAACTTCACTAAGTGGAAATGATTTTGAACTGGTGCCCTAGTCTAAAAGTAAGATGGTAAGAAGATGGTATCTTACTTTCTTCTCTTACGTATATCTAACAGTAAGACAGCAGCATATTTTATATATCTAATGGTATGTAGGTCCATGCACTTTGATGTGTTTACAATAAGTAAAAAAAGAAGAATATTTAACGATGCAATAATCATGAAAGTAAATCAATGTTGAAGGCGTTTTTATTTTAAGAGATAACTTTAAGTACATTTGATTATAATTTATAGAGGTATATAAAATTTGTCCTACAGTGCAAATTATTGTTTACAGTTTTATATAATCTTATGAAATACTTTTATGTCATCCTTTTTTTTCTCTACTGTTTTTCATATTCGCTTGGCTGTTTCGTACACACACACACACATGATTCGCATAACCTGGATTATAAGGCCTCTAATAATAAACCATCAGATTTAAGTCAAGAACAAGAGATTCGGCTACACAAATTACGTGGTTTTCGTGGTCAAACAGAACAAGTTCGTTTGAGTAATGAAAATCTAGGTGAGTTGACTTTTTCAAACTGTTGTTTCACAGATTACTCATCTACTATACTGAAATTTGATAACTATTATGTCTAACAATAAATAGCTTTATGTTAGACTATATTTTCTATTTGAAATACAGAATTCTCAGTGTATAATATTACAGAAATGTACAACATTTTCAAATAAAATAGTAATAATGGTAAAATTACTAAAAAAATGACATCAATAATACGTAGATTACAATAGGATTTAAAAAGTATATGTTGTTGCTAAGCTGCCTAGTCCGGTTTCTTTGAATGATAAGCTTTTTCACATAGAAAGTGAACTGAATAAGACGTAATTAGGTGTGTGTGCTTATGACCTTCTGAGCTATAAATTTCAGTGTCCATGCTTTCTATCTTTTCTGGAGACGAATTAAAAGAAAGATGTGAATGAAGAAGATGCGTTTCAACCACTCTTTTTCTTCCAGAAATCAAGATACCTGTTCACAAACCTGTCTTTCTGTAGGGTTAAAGTGCATAATCAGTTCTGCTGTCTAATATAGTATAGTCTTTTTTCTGAATTCCGAGTACAAATAAGACGGCACAATAAATGAGAACAAACGAAACGCGATAATTCCTAAAACGTAAAAGTAATAGATGTACTTTCTCAGAAACTTGGTACTTTTCAACATAAAAAGTGGAAAGAAGACATTTTCTTGCAGTCGTTGTGATGACAGGAGACAGTTGAGAAAAATAGAAAACGCTTAATTAGGAATAGATCACATTTAGTACATTTTCTGTTATGGCGCTGTCAAAAATAAATAACTCATCGGTCTCAAGGAAGTGTTACGAAATTTAGTTCATATTTAAATGATTATATGAGACTGTTCAAGGTAAAGAAAATACTTATGAATAAGTAATCGGCCTAGATATTTTTGTTGTTGTTGTGAAAATGCTTAAATATTGTTTCAGCTAAAAAGAAAAATCCGAATTAGACGAAGAGAAAGAACATCTCATGTTAAAGCTCACTACTAGATCAGTTAAATAGAGGCGCTTCCATCTATGTTAAATGTTTACAGGATTTCATCATAAACTGACATCGGTTAGAGAACCATTGGAAAACCAGCGAGGAGTACTGGACAGCTGTTTCGTCAGCCTGGTCTGGGACTCCTCATCAGTACGCACCCACCGCCAGAGTTCGAACCGATGACCATTTCCAATGGTTCTCTAACTGATGTCAGCTCATGATGAAATCCTATAACCAATCAATCAAATCCCTACAAACCAATACTTGAATATGTTAAATGTATTGCTTTTCTTTAGGGAGACAATTTTGTGATCCAGGAGTCATGTTCTACCGGGAAAAACAAAAATTCAAAGGTATAAGTGTGATCTGAATAAGCAGATATAACCCACTTGATACCTTTATCAAGATGGAATCCATTATTGCAGTGTAAAATAGTTGTTTAACGTTGAAATTATTCCTTTTGTATTTCTAAACACTCTGATTTGTCCCACACGAATGGTTGTTCTTTCCTATTTCTAATACATCTAACAGTGGGATTTCAATTTGGCTTTTCACAAAGGTGAAATTCACCAGGGGGTGGGGGGGGCGAAGAGCACTGTTTATTTCTAGCTACTACAGGCTCCTCAACAAAGTATAGATGAGATTTCATGCATGATAAGGTAGTATTTAAACTTACCCCCAGTAATCACAGAAGTCAATTAACTATAGCAGTATTATTCAGCAATAATTCAATTTATACACACTTATATAGTTATTTTGTTTTCGTGATTGAACTGGTGAGATAATTATAATTGAATAATATATTGTTACTAAGATTGATTCAATGAATTAATGAATCATTCGTAAATTGATTGAATATAATTCGTGCAACTATTATTCAGCACATAATACCAGTTATTACATTTTGCATTAAAAAAATTTTTTTTTTAAACAATGACCACATGAAACATTTGTTGTGTTATCCTTGATGTAGGATATAGTGTAATTACCGACTGTAATGTTCACACACACGCACACATTTGTGCGCTTATGTTTGTCTAAGCCTACAAGCTGAGAAATAATGATAATAATAATAAACAATTGAGATTCTGTAAACTGGACAATTTGTCTGTCTTTTTAAAAGGCCTTACTATCTATTTAACTAAGTAAAGCGATTATTTGACTTATAAACTGAACTGTTTTCACAACGATTTAAGTTTTTAATTGCTTAGTTTAACATAAAGAAGGAAATAGTATTCCAGCTGTGTTGTTGTGAATTTGTATCGTACAGTTTTTTTTCCTTCTTCTGAGGTTTTATATTTTAACAACGTGTAGCAGTCAGTGCAGAACTATGCATGTATGAATAAATAATTAAAGCTGTCGGCCTTTGTTGAATTAAACTCCTATATTCAGACTTATCGGTACGTCGGTGGCATAACGGTTAGGACGCTCGCTAACCATGCATATGGTCCGGCCAGCGCACTCCTTTACTTCGCTAAGCCAGTAATAAGACTGGTAAAGAGGAAAGGTTGGGCATGAGGCTAGCAACCCCATCCTGTAAAAATAAACACTGCTACAGAAACTTTCAGGCCTCTAGCTTGAAGCCCTATATTCCACTCGGAACGTGAAGGAATAAAAAAAAATTCAGACTTATCTCCACATGAGCCTTTTACTCCAACAGAGTTGACTAATTTCGTCAACTTTAACATTCAGTTGAATTTCACTTACAATTTGGTTAGTGAAGAGTGACGTGAGTTCAAAGACATTCACAGTGTTCAAGGCTACTCACTTTATTGATCAATTATGTGTTGATGTGTTGATTCACAATGGACAGCCTTGTTGTTTCAAATGAACCTGAATCTTCGTATGTTTATCCTCAAGATCTGCGTTTATATTCTTTAAAGATTCTTTGAATTGTAGTCAAATAGGTTGCGTGTACTGACAGTGTGTATTATTTCAAATGACGCTTAGAAGTTATGACTTCATATGTATCTTGTTGTGGACGAAGCAACTTCCTCACTCAAATTTCAAAAACTTTCGAATTCAACAATGATTTCTTGAAGTTATATATGTATATGTTTGCATGTTCTTGTCCTTTAAAGTCTTTTCTCTAACAGTTACTAGTTTTGTCTGACTGGTTAGATCTATTGAAGTTCTTAAAGAAAACTCTACTTTTAACTTCGTCACCTTCGTTCATACTATGTAGACTGACCGCGTTTTCTTTAATTTTCATCTATAGGCATATTAAAGAAGTTTGAGAATACTCTTACGCTGTATATTCTCTTACATAGGACCTATTCACCATACCTAGGTACATATCAATAAATATCAGTGAAAATGACCTAAGAGTTATAAAAAATTCCTTCAAATTACACTTTTCATGTTAATACCACGGAAGATGTTTATTATTAGTATTGATTAAAGCACAAAATTGGTACATTATAGGTACCATAGGTACCGAAATCTCATTATTTGTGCGAGGGCTGGGATACTGCCCGGATACCCAGACTAAAGCAGGTGGTGGTCGTCTTAAAAGACCACTTCCGCCTAGTCTTTGACTTGAAGTCTGATCTACAAGGCAGTGGAGTTGCGTTTCCATAGTCTCCGGTATCCAAAACAGGTTCATATGTCATTCGATCAATTCAGATTGTGGAGCCCACGTACACCATAGGTTTAGAATCAGGACTTCCCATCTCCCCAAGGTAAACCTGCATATCTACCAGTCTGATTGTAAGCGCCAGACGTTCGTATTCATCCTTTCACTTTTATGGGGAACACCCTCACTACGTGAAGACAGTGAATAGGACCTACCTGGTTATCAGAGGCTATGAACGCGTGGCCACATGACAGCATTTTGAGGCGAAACCGAAGTTTACCTATCCGTTGCCGTACCAGGTCGTTTATGAGAGCACACACAAAATGCAGCTGAACATTACGCCTGTTTGAATGAACTTCTTTCGAATTAAGTCACTAATCAACAGTGATTCACTACTCAAGTAGGGTTGTTTATAGGGAATAGTTTATTTTGAAGGTATGCTAGTTTGTTTTTTCAGATAAATCACGTCGTAGTAGTAGTATATTAATATTTATAATATAAGCAAATCAGCCAAGATGTTTACTCTCCTGACAATGTTAAGAAGATAACTAAACTCCATCATAAAGTGGTTGTATTTAGAAAATTCCATAATATGGAATGCTCATCTTAGAAGCCGTATATATCACTATCCTACAGAGTGGATAAAGAGATAGCAACCTGATAGACAGATTTTAGTTATTATTTATTCTTCCCTCTTTGACGCTTTCCTCCCCTCCCCACCCCCAACCTTACTGTCTTATAATTTTGAAAACATTTAGAATAATTATATACTTCTCCTGTTATATTTACAGTTTCCGAAAAATTTAATTTTTGCTTACTTATGCTTTTTTATAGAATGAATTTTAATGTTCATCTCTGCTTGTGTCAATATTTTTTTTCTCTTAGTAAAAGAAATTGATCGATTAGCCTCATTATTATCCAACAAAGAACGTGATCTACAAGTATGCCGACAAAGAGCAGATGAAGCTGAACGCATGCTAACTTTAATTAGCCAATGGCATAATGTCATTGCAAGTGCACGTCGGCAGACAGTCAGTCAAACAGGAACAACACCTGGCACTAATGAAACCTCTTCTTCTTCTTCCCCTCCGCTTAACCTACCATTTATGCAACCACCTTTCTTTACTGAATTGGTAAGTTTAAAAAATGTGGGTTTTTCTTAAAATCTACCTTTTTTTTATCTGCTGTTGTCAATGTTAAATAATTATAAAATGTATATATGTACTCTGTGAAACCTTGTGTGTGTGATATGTCAGTTATTTCGTGGTATGTTACGCTTCTTATATTTCTCAGTTTGCGTAAATCAATATTACTGAGTATAAAGTATGTATGAAAAACTTTGTTATCATATTCTTGATAGCATTTATTTAGAAATTGACAGTGTTTGCTTTTGTTATGTGTGTGTGTGTATCTATTTTTGAAAAAGTGAACAGGTGTGTATGTGTGTGGTGTGTGTGTTTAGCCATTAATTTAATATTGAACGCTGAAAATGTAGTGGTCCATCAATTGATGGAAGAATGGAAACATGGTTCTGCCATGACTTACTTGTCATACATTTTTCTGGCTGCAGATGAAATTTGTTCACAACGAAATTAGTGAATAAAGTGTACAGCATAGTTGATACAATTTCTTATGGTTGTAGTAATAAAGATTTTTGATTCTTGCACTTTCTGACACAAATGTTACCTGGCTTGCATTTCAGTGTCACTCTAATCATCATTCTCAGTGTTGATGAATAGTTGTTTTTGTAGAGTATTCCTGGAAATTCATTCTCCTTTATCAGATATTGTTTTGATGACATGTCTTTCTTCTGTTTGACATAAGTTATTTTTGTTGGCATTTTGAATATTTCAACAGTTGTACTTTGACTAGTTGATATTTTCTTTCCGTTGATCGCCTCTTTTGATGTGTATAGATCAGTGTACAATTGGTTGAATAGTTGACTGGCTATCATTTGACCGTTCTCTTCTTCATAAGTCTTCCTTCTCTAAACTGGCCAATTCTGAGGAATTGGTAATTTTCGGTTATCATGGCAACATGGGATCTCTGGTCTCTTTGGTTCCTGTTAAAATCTATTCACTTTAGAGATTTTGACTCATGCTCTTGTTATTACTTCGGTTCTTAATTACTACTTCCTGTTACAATTTGTCTCTGTTATCCAAAGAATTTAATTTCTATGGATTGTCATCTCATTTTTGAAATGTTCTCCATAAATTCTTGATCATAGTTGTCTGTTTCTAAGACAAAAACAATCATTTCATATCATGATTGCTTGTAGGTGCGCTTTACTATAGGACGGTTTGGTTATCCAACTTCGACACAACAGCCTCAGTTTATTTTTGAAGATTGTGTTTGTTTTTCTCCTTTGTCCAGAGGGTTTCATTGATTTGTTCGGAAGCCTCTGTAGTGATTTCATGGGTTTATGAGTCATATCTATTCTGAAGTGCAGTTGTAATCTAGAGACTTCTGAAATCTTTTGTAATGAAATGCAGTATGATCCACTTGTTCTTTGTTGCTATGCTGTGTCTTTAAATTACAATACCAATAACTCACAAGATAGAATGATTCCTTATAAATGCTCATGAGAGGTTCACCATCTTCATCAGCTCTTAAAAATGTCACTGAAATAGCTTCTTTGAAGAATGCTAGCTTAAAAGGCACTTCTAACAGAATACTTACTTTCTGATTTATAGCAATCTTCTATTATTTCTTGATTAACTGTCTGATTTTGCAGGTTCATTTTCGCATCCATTTTATTGATGTCTAGTCTTGTCTCTCTACACACTTTTTATGTTTTCCGCATTAAATGATGAATTTCACTACAATGATGCCATCATGTGTTGTGGTGCAGTACTTCAGTATCAGGGTCGCAACTGCCTTTTTGACTTTGTTTCCATATTTACTTACCGTTGTGATTCTCTTGAGCTACTTTGACTCGAATCCTTATCCATTAACCTTCTTCCTTGCTGAGAACGTCAATCAGAAAACTATGAGACCAAAAGGAGCTAATTTCATTATATTACTTCAGGGTGTGTGTGTGCAAAATAATAAGGACTGAAAGTAAACTTTGAGCCGGATACAACAGCAGTAAGCTAAGCTCCCCTGGATTAATCTTACATCCAGTTGATTGGATTTGCTTCCGATTTCAATCAACATTGTAAATCTTCATCTTCCTTCCGCTAATAACTCGACACCCTGATTTCTCCCAATTCTTTGCTACCTATTCCACTTCATCTGGCACTATGCCTGATCTCTTTAAGTAGTACTTATAATCGTGATGAGTTAAGCTTTTAGCGTCTAAATTCATTGTCAAATTGTGTAACATATTTTACTAACTTAAATCTTTACTACGCAAGAGTATAAATATATGTTGTATTTTTCGAGACAAGTAAAGAGTATCCAAGTATGTTTATTCACCTCATCTCATCTGATGATCAGGCTGGTGACTGTATGTGCGAATTGCACTCTGTCTCAGGTTAACATTTGAAATAATAATACTAAGTGCTAAGGTAGGAAGTATATACTTCAACTGGGCGTCGTTTGATCGTTATGGGCTCTTGTAAAACTAACATTAATCAGGGTTCACTTAGGTATTCTTTTATTAATCTCTGCCTAAGCACTCACTACGTGTATATTAAATACACATAAATCAGGTGTGACAACCTGGCCGGTTTTACAGTAATGACAGGTTGATAATGCCTATTTGCTTTTTGTTTAGTTAATTAAATCAACAGAATTGGCAGTTCCAATGGGCTTAATGGATAATGCTTTTGTATGAAGAAGTCGCCCATTTGTATAAGCACTCGACTTACTGACAATGGGGTTTTAGGTTCAAGTTCCGTCCCAGCTACACCAACCCCCTCACACAATGAGTGTGGCTTTTATTAGTCCGGTACATTGAAAATCTATCCCAAGTAACTGAGAACTGTTGTAAAGATATGTGTAGTTGAGTATGAATTCTTTTACTTTTGAATCCGTTACATATATACGGACTGTTATTATACGCAAACTACAATTGGATGGTGGTCAGTGGATTTGTGATTCATAATATCCAATAAAATACTATTGTCTGTCTGGATTCAACATAGAACTTGGCACCGAAGTGCAGCAGTTCCAGTTGCCACGTTCCAAATAGCACACAAAGGTAGACAAGAAGATGAGTGAAGAGAATCAATAGAGTTTTGACAAGTATAAGAGTGAAACAGAATGAGTAATGGTAGAAAGGAATATGAAAGATTACAGAGACTGAATACATCTGCGCCATTGACAACGATTTTGAGCCATGTCACCTATTGTCTCCAGCCATTGATTCTTAGAGTCCCGAGGGCGGGCCTCAACCCGGAAGTCTGCATCTCCCTACCTGACTCAGTTTAACTGTCAAGGATTTCATGGATTGATGAGGCCATGTTTTTGTTTGGCCACCACTTACTCTTTTCCAACCTGCATCTATATCAGCTAGTAATGCCTGTTGGGGGAGGCGATGGTTAGGCATGCGCAGCACGTGACCTAGCCATCTCAATCTATGTAACTTTATAGCCTCTTCGATTGATACTATTGTTCTCCCATATTACTATTCTTTTTCCCTCACTCACACTTCTATTTATTATCTCTCTTTACTCTCTTCTCTTGCTTTGTGTGCTACATGGAGGGAGAGTAGCAGCTCGAACTGCTGCACATCTAAGCAAAGTTCTACGTTGAAACTAGTCATTCAGTCAATGTGAAATGGTAGAAGGCAAAAGACTTTGTAAAGGAATTATGTACACCTGATCTTCAACGCACCATTTGCACAGATCTTCGTGTTATGGTATATCTGGCCTTCCTTCATATTGTGTTTCTTTGTGTTCCTTTCACTTCTCCTATATATCTCCACAACGCTGTATCATTTGCCTTCTCTGACATCAAATGTATCTCCCTGCTATTTGATGTTTTTTATGCCAATGAACGTCTCTTTATATACTACTGATAAATCTTATCAGTAGCACTCGTTACAAATGGGCTTGTGTATATGTATACATGTTTATTTTAGTCCACAGTATAATAAACTTTTATTTCTACACAGAACTAATGAATTATGCCTCTCAGATAAAATAAATAGTCAATCAAGGATTCTTACAGATGCCTTTCCGGTTGAATTGAATATCTGTCCTCTGTGACACAATTCTATTTCCTGTTTTAATTATCCCCTCATCATCAAAACACTTATAATTGATTATTTCAAGTGTAATTTCATAAAATGTAAAATGTTTTTTTCCTTTAAATTACAGGCTTTTTTGTTTTTCCAATGAATTGTATACTACTTGTCTACCTTTCATATATGTATGTTAACTTGGGCTTAGTGAATAACAAACATGGATTAAAAACAAATAGTACTATATATATATATATATATCGTTATTATTATAGATAAATGCACTTTAGAATTGAATAGAAAGAAATTCGTCCATATGTGTATGCATGTATACATTTTGATTGTATGTAAACAAGTTGCTTTTAATACTGTTTTTTTTAACTCACATTTATTCTTTCTTTTTTTCAAAAGCAAAGTTTTATTTTGTTTGCCCCCTATATTTATTATTATTATTATTATTTTAGGATAAAAAACGTTGGCATGATGGACTTGTTGAAGCTGATCGTTTAGATAGACAATTTGCTGTAGTTTTTGGACGTAAACCACCAATACAAACATGGTCTTCTAGTCAAAGTAATATAAACTTTAGTGGTACACAGATATTGGATAAAAAATCAACTTCATCATCATCAGCAGTAGCATCATCATCAACATCATTGCCATCAGTTTCTGTTACATCTGTTCCACCTCCATCCTATTCATCATGTCATCAAGCATATTCTAAATCTAGGTAGGTTTAAATGTGTTACGCTATTTGTGATTGAGTGTACAATGCGATTGTTAACATGGTGAATTAATTTATAGACAAATGCATAGCGTTTTATTATATCTACATAAATCAGTGTGTTGATGATTATCTACTCTCAGAAATTTTTAACTATGTTGATATTAGAGTTCTGTTTATTTATTTACAATGCACTGATCTGAGAATTGATCATTCTTGAAGTGTACTAAGTCTCTTTCCAGTATTTTTTTAAAATTCCCAGTGGAACATAGGGCTTCAAGCTAGAGGCTTAAAATTTCTGTAGTAATGGTATCTATTTCTACGGGATGGGGTTTCTAGTCTCATGCACAACCTTCTCTCTTTACCAGTCTTATCACTGGCTTAGCGAGGTAAAGGAGTGCGTCTGTGGCCGGGGATTGAACTCCGAACCACCTGCGTGGTTGGCGAGCATTCTACCGCTGTGCCACCGACGCACTTCCGGTACTTAATGTAGACATTTTTAATTTGTTATATGTGGTGTAAAACAAAAGCCACGAATTCTATTTCTATTTATTGAAGGACTCTACTCAAACTCATCTGGCTATGTAAAAGCTTATGAAAAAGTTGCCGTCCACAGTGACAACAGCCATTGATTTTCTCCTGAAGTGCTGAGTTTTATTAGATACAGTCTTCTGAATTCTCTGAGCGTAGAACTAGATACATTTGGCATGCCATTCATCCCTTTTAAATGTTGTAATGTGATGCTATAGGTCTAGTCTGCATCGACTCATGGTTATAAAATAAAAAGTGAACTTATTGAGTTTGTTGACTGCCTTACTTATTTTGGAAATCATCGATACAATCTTATCACAGATACAGATGCAGAAGGCTGATTTGAAATGATGACACGCATCACCCACTCTTTGTGGTAAACGATTTAACTCAGAAAATGTTGATCATGATTTACTAATCAAGGTTGTAATATGGATCTAAGCAAATGACGTAACTGATCGCTAATATTTAATGTCTAACTACATTGTATCAGAGTGTTGGCTGATTTAGCTTACTGGTCAAATTACTTCTGATATCCGTCAGTTATCAAGTGATTCTGTAGGGAGTCGGTCTCATTCTTCACCTTATAGGGTTGAATGGTGAAGCTTTTTCTCAATCTTCTTCATAGATGCAGATATGTCTTGCTGTTAAACACCAATAAGTAGGAGACATGACTTCAGGGCTATACACCAACTGTCTCTTAATGTTTTATACACCAGCTGAGCGTGTTACATAACCAAATTATAGCAGTCATCTTCGATTTTTTGCTGTTGTTGTTCAAGTTGAGTTTCAAATCCCTGTCTCGTATTATCAACTTCTCTTTCTGTGTATAGTTCATTCATATCTTTATGTTTGCGTGTCAGCTTCTATATTTCACGGCAATCTCTACTTTTTTATTATTTTTTCTCCTTCCTCTTTCTCACGTTAATTTCATTATTCATTCTATTTTATTAAATGTTTTTGATTATATATTTATTTGTCTCTTTTGGTTTAAAATATATAAATCATTTGTCTAAAAGAAAATTTACTCCATCTACTTGTGCACAATTTCAGTGACTTGAAATTCTAGTAAAACAGCTTGAATAATTGATTTTCTAGTTATTTCCCCAGCGATTTTTGCTTATGATCCGTTAGGGGGAGGGAGGGGATTAACTACTAGGTCGGTTTTCATTTTGAGCTGAGCTTCAATTCTTGAGTCTATATTATCTTGGTTGGGTTTTGTTTTATTTGTAGAGAGAAATATATATTCAATTTCATGTCATGACTGTATCCATTTCGATCATTTCAGATCCTTTTGAATATATATATATATATATATATATATATATATATACAATATGTCTGATTTCTTTTCTTTTCGTTTTGAATAGACTGTTAATCTCATATGACCATTTTCGTTTACAGTCTGTATTTGGTGAGTGTGAACTGAGAAATCAGTACTAGAATGTGATCCTAGTAAAAAAAACGGTTTCACTTCCTTTATTACTATTGTGCGTCGGTGGCACAGTGGTTAGGACTCTCACCGACCATGCCCATGGTCCGGGGTTCGATCCCCTGCTGACGCACACCTGATATCTATGGTCGGCCTTCAAAATTTGGGCTACCGATATCACATGCTGAAAATTCCATATCTGTACCAAAAATACAGTGTGGAATCAAGCTGTAATCAAAAAAAGATAGGCAGAACAGATCGTGTATTAGAAACACATATTATAGATTTATATTTGTAGTAGAAATGCTTTGTTTAAGAGACTTGCATCTCTTTGTGCTGTGTCAGATCATCATATGCTGACTGTATCCGCCTACGCAAAGCCTTTGTTCTCATTTTCTCACTACCAATATTGGGGACATAAACATTGACGTCAATTACTGTCTACCAACTTTGGTTAGCAGCCAGCTCTCACCACACTATAACTTCATATGGTAACCTACAATCAAAATGTTGATTAAGAGTATTCAAACAGTTGCTCAAAAGCAACTTGGCAGACTGATAGAAAAGTGGAGAGATTTGGAGATCTATATATGATCAAGTGTTGGTTTACAGGGATTTGATTTGATTTGATTGGTTTCAGGATTTCATCATGAGCTGACGACGGTTAGAGAACAACTGGAAAACTAGCGAGAAGTACTGGACAGCTGTTTTGTCAGCCTAGTTTAGGACTTTTCAGCGGTATGCACCCTTCGCCAGGGTTCAAACACATGACCTTCCGATTACAAGCCGAGCTCGTAGACCATTAAGCCACTTGGGACCCGATGCAATGGCCAGCCGATGAATCCCAACTTCTGCCAATTTAAGATATAGCGCGACCACTAGCCAGTGTCATCGGCAAGTATATATCCTCACACCCCACCTGCTGTGCTCCACTGGTCACGAATTCTAACTAGAACCCAGGTAACTACCTACCTGCCTGTATAGGGCCTGTCGCTAGTTAGCATCAGACTGATATTGAAGTGTTGGTTTGTCTTGTAACCAGAAGGTCCTGGTTTCAAACCCTGGAATGTGCGTACTGATGGAGAGTCGCAAACTAGGCTGACGAAACAGCTGTCCAGTACTCTCAGGTTTTCCAATGGTTCTCTAACCGATGTGAGCTCATGATGAAATCCTGTAACAGATCTATATAATCCTGAGTAAGCTACTCATCCCTTCATTTCCTTGGCTCAGATCAATAGGTCTACTACTCCTCACTTCAGCTTACATTGTTCATCGACAAAGTTGGTGGCTCTGCCTGCATACGCTTAACATTCCAACAGCAGCATCATGTCTCAGCCGTAAAGTAGAGTAGTTAAGTTGTTATGTACCGCATTGACTTTTTGAAAGTTAACGGAACATTCTGATGGTATTGCTGTTCATTTTCCTTTTTACTTAAATCACTGTTGTTTCACGTTTTTCCAAGTGTTGCCATGTGTGTGTGTGTCTACGCCGTTTCATATTTATTTTTACTTATATTATTACTTTTATATTTACCTTCATGTATATATATTACTTAAAAGGATTGAGTATGTAATATTTTGTGAATAAATGTGCTTATCAGACAAAAGATAAGTTTATGCCTAACAAAAACTACTACGATATTCTCAACATGATTGGATGATCAGTTTGAATAGTTTTCTGTATGCAATTTTCCGTTTTTTTTTTAACTGGACTGTAAGCATTCAGTAAAAATGTTTAGCTTTCAACATTTTCTACTACAAATATATTTATTTCTTAAAATATGCATAAAATATTTCTTCTCTCACTCCAACTGGTAATGTCATGATTCTTGTCTGTATCTCTGCTATTTTGACGATGCAATCAGACGTAATAAGTAAGAAATATGATGACGTGGGATCGGTTCGCATATATGACTTCTAAGTTATTTTGTAGTCAATTTTTTTAAATGAATTTTTATGAATGACTATAGTTGTGTGATAATATGTTAAAGCGATTTGCTTGTTGTTTAAGCATAATTTTTCTTTGCTTGCATATTGTGTGATGATGTGATTAGAAAGTTATAAATCTTAAGGTAAGCGAAATTTAGTATTTGATCGTGGTTCATACGTCTGAGAACCTTACGACACCCGCCAGGATTTACGTAGCTAGTTGGTATATTCAATCCACATGCAAAGTAAATATACAGATCATCATCAAGGGCTACATAAAAGGCTGTGCATATTTTTTTTACCTCTGTAGTCTCAGTGTGACTTCTTAAAATATTCAGCAGTACAGAAATTTCAAGCTGGAGGCTTGAAGTTTCGGTAGCAATGGTATCTATTTCTACGGGATGGGGTTGCTAGTCTCATGCACAACCTTCGCTCTTTACCAGTCTTATTACTGGCTTAGCGAGGTAAAGGAGTGCGTCTGTGCCGGGGATCGAACCCCAAGCCACATACGGCGTGGTTGGCGAGCATTCTACCACTGCGCCACCAACATCTCTACGATTATGTCTGCACTGACTAATTTTGAAATGCTTAATTTTTTGTTGTTGTTGGTATAAATCGATGAATAGTCTGTGTAAATACTTTTTTTACAGAAAGATATGTTGCCCAGGAAAAGCGGTAGAAAAATTAAGTGTAAACTGCAGTCATCATCACAAATTCAGCTGATATTGTTTAATTTGAATATGCTATTTCCGTCTTCGTATTAGTAAATATTTCCTTTAAAGCTCCGTTCTCCTTACAAGGTCAGATTAGATAGGGACTCTAAACTGTCCTTTCATGTTCCGATATTAGAGCACAAGAATCGAACTACGTGTAGAATGATAGACCCTACGAAGATGAATAGTTTTGAGAGAAACTCAGCAACTGCCATGTATGCACTGACAAACAATCACACAATAAGGTTGGACAGATCTATAATTCATAAAAGTAATATAAGTAGGTGTAGGTAGAGAGGTTGATTTTCATTGGACACTAGTAACTAGTGTGACGTGTCTAGTCCTTTCTTTGGTGCAGACTGAATTCTATCAGTCAGCTTTGCAATGTGGCCACCATTCTAG